CCATCTCTAGACGGCCAAAGCTTTTCACCAGGGACGAAGCAAAGCCGTGACGCGGCAGCGGGGCGGGAATCTCCTTCGACTCCAGGGCCTTGTGATTTCAGTCCTGGGTTGGTTACTGACCCTACCAACTGGTTCTGCTGCATGTTCCCTCTGAGCACTCGTCGATGCATTTATTCCATTCCTTTGCTTCAGCCCCCCTGCAGTAAGTGCTCCCAGGCCTGGAGAGAGGCGAACGCTAACCAAGACTGGGAAATTCACCACCCGAACAATGTGCTTCTCCAAACCCGTTCCTGGGCCAGAGCTGCTGGGTGGGAGCGAGAGCCGAGCAGGCTGCAGAGCTGGATGCATGCGTTTGGAAGCGTGATGATCTGAAGGTCACCACTGCCCCAGAGCTAGGGGACGGAGCAGCGGTTCTGAACGCTGGCTTCCCTTGTTTTCTTTTTAACCTCTTCCTGGAGCACTTGCCCCTGGTGATGCCTTCATAGTCTCTGATGTAGGCTCAGGGAAAGGCTGCACAACAAGAAGTCTGGACTCTCCCTCCTCCCATCTCCTGAGCCACTGAAAATGGCACACAAAGCTCTAATCCCGAGGCCACTTAGCCTAGCCGCCCACTGAGAAAACCTCCTCTTTCCCTCCACGTGAGACTTGGCCCTCTGCAGGTTTTCAGCCCCAAAGGCAGGAGGACTTCTTCAGGGATGGCCCTATGTTCACTTCTTTATTTACCCAGCATCTCCACAACGGGTGAAGGCCTTGTGCCACAAGGACATGCCCTCCTCCAGGCAGGTCTGGACAGAGCCCCGTCTGGTCTCTATCGATGCTGCGTCATGCGGCAGAAGAGGCAAGAGAGGACATATGGGACAGGCAATTCTGGGATGTTTTCCCAAAGGGCTGAGCACTCACTCCTTGAGCCCAGGAAGCTTGTAACAAGCTCAGGACCTGAACTCAGGCGCCCCGCTCAGCTGCACGTTGCACTCCCATGGATCGCTGGGCGCATCTACGACGCTAGCTAGCAATCAAACCAAGAGCCAAGCACAGCAACAAAATATTCTTGATACCGCGGAGCTCTCCAGGAGCCAACCCTGACTCTCCTGCAGCACACCCACCCTGGAGGATGGAAGGAACAAACTCATCGATGGCTGGTGGGCAGCAGAGAAGAGGCTCAGAGAGCACTGCTGCACCTTCTCCATTTCCCAGGGGAGCGCTTTATGGGGGCATGGGGCGCCCTTAGATTCTATTTGCTGTCCCCAACGAATAGGAGGTTCAGCAGCAGAGGGAAAGGGCAGGCTGCGTGAGAAGCCTGGCCTCCGTACACACAGATATAATAGCGAGCAATTTGGAGGCAGGAGCCGGAGACATTCTGACAGGCGAGCAGCTTCCTTCTTCGCTTTCATTATCCCTTCAGCTGAGCATGAACAGTCATCTTTAATAACAGCCTCAGTGCAGTGCGATGGGAGAAACGGGTGTGTCCATCTGCTTTCAAATCAGATCCCGCAGGATTAGTTCATATTTAGCGCTGCAGTGAGGATACCGTGTAACAGGATTTTCCCTCGCAACACGAGAAAGCTGATTGAAGTCTGCAGGTCAGATAATGAGGCATCTCACTTGGAAATTCTGCTGGATTTCTGGGGCCAGAGGATATCTTCAGGGAAGTGTGTTTATTCTATGGCACAGACACACCAGTGGGTTTGTCCTCCTGCTTTAACTCAGTCACAGCCATAACCAACACCATTTCTTTCTGCTAAAGTCCCGAAGCAATGGTATTGAATCAGGATATTTTCGGGCAAACACCTGAGCATTCAGGGAGCGATTCCCTTCACACACTGCCCTCCAACTCCGCCAGCCACTTGTCTTTCAAAGCCTGGGGTTTGCAAACTCTATCTGCCCCTATGGGACTTGCTAGTACCTCACTACATCCCTGAGTGAGGAGATGCGATAGGTTTTCTCCGTACGCCCCTGAGGCCGCCCACCCTGATGGGTTTCTAAAAGGTACGCCATGGCGCTCTCATTCAGCTATAAACCCAGCCGGGCAACAGCCGACAGGCACTCCCTGAGAACAGAGGGTGTCAGTGTGAGTGGCACAGGCTGCAGTAGAGAGTTCTAGCTGGAGAAAGAGATTCCTGGTCCCAGTCTCTGCCCAGGAGCACGTCGAGCCCAGTCCTTGAGGGGCTGGGAATGCTCGGCTCCTGCTGATGGCAAAGGTGCAGGAGACAGCACGTAATGCAATACACAATAGCGGGGGGGGGTTTGAACAAGGACACACCTCTCTGCTCACAACTGGAATACAGGCCTTAGAACACTCTTGGTTTCACATAAGAGACCGAACCAAGTAAACTGGCTAAACAGCAATTTATCTCCGAGGGAGGGGCACAGTTAACGCTGCTGGGATTTGAACCAGTAGGTGCCGGAAGCCATTGTGTGCTTCAAACCTGACAGTGAGGCCACTGTGCCTGCCCCTGCACAGCCTCGGGGGGTTCTGCACACACAAACAGGTGTACGGCAGTGGGTGTTTTCCTGGCAGGTAACTAAAGTTTGGCTCTGGGTGTTTTCTGTCAGGACATGGCATTTATTTTCAGTGCCCTTCCCGAAATCTCTGCATTCATCACCTGCCATTCCCTAGACGGCATCTGTGTGGGGTACCTTAGTTCAAGCCCCATCTCAGGGGCAACTTCCAGGCAAAGACCCCCTGGAGCTGAACAAAAATACATCAGGAATGTCATCAGCATCTTGGGGGATGGATTTTTTATTCTGACCAACAAATTAGGAGCTACAAGACTAAACCCTTTCTTTCTTTCTTTCTTTCTTTCTTTAAACCCTTTGAAAGGATGTTAATGAGGAACAAAGAATTAAACACAAATAACCACGAAGATAAAGCAGGGCCGTTCTGCTTAGGCATGCTGGGGGAGTGTAAGGGTGGAGTGGGGAATGCGGGAGACACAAGCCAGTGTGGGCAAAAGACTAGTCTGTTTCAGGTCAGCTTGGGTACAAGGAACAGAGACATCACAAGTCTCCAGAGATTCAGTTACATGCAAAAACTTTTAACAGCAATGATGGTAAGAATGTGAATGAAATCTGGACAGCCATTATAAATAGGGTTTGGGCCTCAAGAGGCAATATTTTTAAGCCCTACTAAATGTCAGAAGTTGCTTACAGTATTTTTCAATTCTGACACTGTTAGCAAAGCAAACCTGTTTTCCCTTGTTTTGTGCCTAGCAATTAATGCTGTGAGTCTTTGGCTGGTTACTTACATCACCAAGGGGGTGCCAGGCATGAAGAACGACGGGTTTGATTGCATCTGCTTTGTGCATAGGTCCTTGTGAGTCAGCAGTTCTTCATTCAACTACTGGCTCAGAATCCTGCTTCACACCGTACATGACGTGTGTGTGCGCATACGTACACTTCTGTGAGTTCACTTAAATTCTGTGTATGGAATTTTATCTAATAAAAATACGCAAAGCCACAGTGAGGGCTGTCATTTGTACATAAGAGAATGGCTGGCACACAGAACTGGGAGCCAGGAGTCTCCCATCCATTGTTCAATCCAGCTTTGTCCAGTTTACTGGGTTAGGGTCTTTTTGTTCTGTTGGTACAGCGCCGAGCACAATGGGGTCCTGGTCTGTGATGGGGCTGCTAGTTGTTATTGCAATACAAATAATAATAATAATAAAGACACTGTTCCCCTCTCTCCCACCCAATGGATAATGTTTTATTTTAATTAAATTTTAATTCCTATTACAAGAATCAATACGGTAATTCACATAAAAGATACAATATCTACAGCAAAGCATCGCCTACTGGCTAATATTTACTTACCTCACAGGGCTGCTGTGGGAATTAATTAGTGTTTGCAAACTGCTGTTAGATGCTCAGATGAAAGATGCTATGCAAGTGCAAATTATCCTCACTTATTATAGCAGAGTGAGGGAGAAACAACAGACATGCCCTAACAACAACAGAGAAGGGCTAGCTCCTGCCGTGTCCAGGGGAAAATACAATTGAGCCCACTGAGCCAGTTTTAGCTCTACCAGAAATGTGGCCATTCTGCCAGTGACTGCACCAGCACAGAAGGCAGAATCTGGCCCACCGGTGTGTTCGCACACAAACTAAACCAAACCAATAAACTCAGCAACTGCTTCAAATTCAGATGTCAATATATCTAAAGAAACAGAGGCATATCTGAGTTCATTGGTTTGATACCATCAGTAACTCCATCCCTTCCTTGGAGTATAGTATGGACCACAACTTGCTGGAACACCTGGCAGATCTCATCACGTCTCACAGTGGTCAGGTGTTTTCCAAGCTTTGTGTAGGCCCCTCTTTATAAAATGGATCTCACCTGGGCTTACCAGACTGTCCACAATTATAGCATGATCTCGCTGGTGTTTTAAGGAAAGCTACAGCAAAAGTTGGGTAGAGAATAAATAATAAGAATAAGAATAAAAGGAAACCTGTGAGTTGAGACATTCCTAACTGGCTGGACAGAATAAAAATTATTAACAGAAGGGAGCAGCAAATTTCCTGGTGATACAAATCATTTCCACTAAGAAACCAGCGTTACAAAAAGATCTGGTTAAGACGACTCTTGACAAACATTTTTGTAAGCAAGACCCTGCAGTCCTAAAGAGTTTCTGCATTGCAGCTTGGGCCTTAATGTCATTTTCACATGTATTAGCATTTCCATGTATGCTTCCACATTGCCTTCCTTTGAAGCACTGGCCGCTACTAGGTGGAGGATGCCAGAGCTGATGGTCCAATTTGGTGTCGCAAGATCCATAGCCAAAATCTACAGACTTGGGTGCCAAAGCAAGACATCAAAATCCGTATTTAGGCACCTAAATAAGTGGCCTCATTTTCAGAGGCACTGAGCATTCACTGTTCCACTGACTTCAGTGACAGCTTTGGCCAGAGTTCCTGTGCAGTGAATAGTACTGGAAAATAACAACGCCATTTTAACCACATAGGACACAAGAAAAAACGCTGAGGCTGGTGTCCAGGTCACTTACCCGCTGCTGTCTGCATGTAGCCAGCTAGGGTGCACACTCGTCTCTCACAGAGCCCGCTGGGCAGGAATATAGCGATGATCGCCAGCAGGCAGCTGATGGCCAAGAGACCACAGCCTCCAGAACACAGCACTGCACTCGTCTGAAAGGACACACACACAGAGGTGTTAACGGGACAGCGAACATGAAAACAGGCAGCCCCTGAGCCGAGCGCTGCTCATCCACCAGCCCACTTGCTCAGCTCAGAAATCAAGCTGATTTTGGGTAGCGGTGGCATCATATACCACTGCCTGTCCAATTGTCCTACTGTTTCACATGCATAAACTGCCCTGGGTAACTGGCACGTTCTAGAGTATTGCAGGAGAAGCCATTACTTAACAATGCCTTTCCCATGAGAGGTGGTGGGGTCTGACGCCTGTGGGGGCCTCATGTCCCGTCATGCAAGACTCACAATGCCCAGCTGTACCTTTGGAATCTTAACAGCCCTCCAAATATTTTTTCACCGAATTAGTAGCCAGAGTGCTCACTAATAGAACGGATTTTCTTTTAATCTGACATCCTGTCTCTGGTCTCCCAACAGAGCTTTTAACATTCTGCCCTGAAATTAGAAACAGAGCACTGTCATACTAGGCTTCCCCCATCCCTTCCCTTTCACGTTATGGTGCTTACGTTCACTGTTAAATCTTTAGCCCATGGTTCACCTGTCACTCAGTCCCCTGGGTTATCAGTATTCAGGCTACAGTGATAATAGCAAATGTATTACATGCATGACGGGATTATGTAACGAATACAAGTGCCATTAGATGCTTCCGATGCATTTCAGCGCCTCCACTGATAGATAAAATGTACCTAGTTACCGCATCCATGCCTGAAAGTTCTCTCATTAATACGTACTTCGCAGAAGATGCTCTACTACTGTGAAGTGGGACCTGCTACTAGACTAATTCCATTGGCAGCATTCACTTAAAGAAACGCTAGCCTGTTATTACTCCGGAACATGGGCAGCGTTGCCTCCCCTCGCAGAGCCGTCCCTGCCCCCCAACACCTGTGCTGTGGTGCTTGCAACCCCCTCCCGTCTCTGACCAGCTTTCATAAATCTCTCTCTCTCTGTTCTGAAAGTGTATCTAGTTATTTATTATGATCAAATCTGAGCTCAAGCAGTGCAGTTATTATTAAACATTTATATTATGGTAGCATCTGCTGGCCAGCCAGCCCAGGGACCCATTGCACTAGGGGCTGCCCAGACATATAGTAAATGATGGTCCCTGTATGTTTATGGCATACAAACAGAGAAGTCAGAAAAAACATAAAATACTTTTGCTGGAAGTTTGCAAGGTAACACGACTTTATTTCTTAAAATCCACAACCTTAACACACAAGAGCCCACAACAGAGAGACAAAGCAGGCTGCTCCCTAAGGCAGAGAGGTACAACTCCCCCCCACCTTATCCTAGGTTGGCTCTTTGCAGACTGACTGCTGAAAGACCCAGATCGGATGCTTCCCTACAACGCCCCCCAGCCAGGAAGCAAGTCCAGGAAACCCCTCATACTTACAGTGATAGCTTGTAATTTTCATACTGTATCCTGGGGTAGTCAATAGGTGGACTGCAGGCCAAATCCAGACTGCCAGACTCTTTTGAACGGGATCCAAAAATCTTTTTATTTACTTATTATTATCATTATTGTTATTTTTTAATTATTTTTTCTGGAGTCTGGACCTTGACCAGGAAATTTGGACCTTGACAAAAATTAATTGACTACCCCTGCTGTACCCAACACACCCTAAAGAGCTTGCAGCCTAAAAGACAAGACATGGCAGGTGGATGAGAAACAAGAGGGCAGGGTGGAAGACAGCATAACACCATAATAGGCTGTGCACAATTCTTAGCCAATCACAACTCGCCACCCTCCTAGCTGCTCTCAGGGCAGAGCAGGTGGGTGTGCCGCTCACATCTTCACAGGTTCGCACTGTCCTCTGCCAGATGACAGCATTGCCATTTAATATTACACCCTCAGGGTGCAAGTTGGGACAGCATCTAAAAAGAAAAACCCAGCTAATTTGTGGTGCAAACAGATAGCATTGGGACGCAGCCATCTAGCTCCCCTCAGCTGTGCTTCCCAGTGTCTGGTATTTAATTCTCAGTCTTTGTAGCTACCTAAGGTGCCATCGCTGTGGTATGTGAGCACCTCGCAATCTGTAATGGATTTCTCCTTGCAGCACCCCTGTGAGGAAGAGAAGTGCTGTTCTCCTCATTTTACTGATGGAGAATTGAGGACCAGAAAGCCTAACGCTCAAATCCACAAAGGCATTTCGGCTTCTAACGTCCACTGAAATCAATGGAAATTAGGAGCCTAAATATCTTTGTGGATCTGGGCCTAAGTGATTTGTCCAAGGTCACATGGGAAGTCTGTGGCAGAGCCGGGATTTGAATGTGGGTCTCCCCAGTTGTATGTGGACCTGTCACACTGCTGGATTCTCCGCTGATCCTGTTTTTATGTTCTCAAAGAGGTATTTTGCCTTGGTTTATCATCGCTACTGCTTTGGTCTCTATCCTCTGTAAAACATCTCTTCCTTCTTCCCCCACTTTTCCTTCATGGGAGAGCATGTCTTGCCAAGGTACAATGGCCATGGACCTTCTGTCAAACCAGGCCTCTCAACACTCTGCCATGGGAAAATTCTTTCAGTGTCACATCTTTGTGTGATGACATGATGACATCTTAGTGCCAGCCTGTTTCTCCATGCACATCTCCTGTCAGGCTTCACCGTTACCCAGAGCACTTGATCAAGTGCTTGACTTCTTCCTCTGTGTATTCAGCAAAACAGCAACCTTTGTGATGATCTTTCTTCTGAATGGGACCTTTGGGGAGTTTTTTAAATCACTTTTCCTTTTTCTGGCTAAAACCTTCCCAGCTCCTGTTAGCTGCATTTGTCTGTGAGCAGGAGATCATCTCTGGACCGTAATTCCTTTCTATCCCAGAAAGGTCTCCGGAGGGAAGGTGATAAGTTCCTGTGTGTTAGTAATGTGAATGCTAGAAACTGTGCAAGTAGACAAAAAAATCAACCCAGTGGGCCTTTAAATTCCTGCTAATGGTTTCCTCATCCTAGAACCAAACAGCCTATGTCCCTGCTCTCTGCTGCCTCTAACACCACGCAAAACCAGGTCATCTCTTCATGGCGTTTAACTTGTTCACTAGTTCATTAGACTGTGAACATATTTCACGCCCAGCAAACAGCAAACTTCAGAGGCACATCCAGCCTTTGGAAGTTGGAAAGAAAGAGCTTTGTAACCCGTCTTCCTGAAGATGTTTAGAAATGAAGTCTTTCAGAGGGGACAGACATCAACCCCTGAGCTTCTTAAAGATCTCAAGGGTTTTCCCAGCAGGTGGGCATTAACCCCAATGGCCTGGCCAAATTTCCCTTTGGGTAAGGACATTCTGCCAGCCTGCAATCCCCGTGCGTTTTGTACACTCCTTGAAGCAGGGATGGTAATTTACCATCTGTGTATTTGTACAGCCCTTGGCATACTGGGGCTCTGATGACCTGAGTGACTCATTACCACCATACACATGTTCATGTTACATTTCACTTGGAAGCCAGACCCCTATGGAAGCAGATAGGATCGCAACGGATGCAGGCCTGCTCCTTTGAACCCAGAAAACAGCCTGGCTAAAACGTCAGACTAAGCTCTGCCATTGGTCGCTAAGGTGGCGTCAGGCCACCCGCAGGCACAGGAGATGTGGGAGGAGAAAACAGGACGGGATCAGGAACAACTTTGGAAGATAGCCAGACTGGGCCAGGGCCAGGGGATCTCTCCTTTGTTCCCCTCTGGCCTGACTGTGATCCCATGGGACCAGATCTGAGAGCTCCTGGAATCCAGGGGAAACACTTCTCACCCGGCCACATCCCCAGCACTGCCTGAGGCACCACCATCAGGCATCGCTCAGTTCAAAGTGGATCAAAGCAGTGACCTCAAACTGCCCTCCAAGAGGTGGCCGAGTAAGATGAAGGGTATGTCTACACTGCAAAGAAAAACCCGCAGCGCTGCGTCTCAGAGCCCAGGTCAATTGACTCGGGCTGGTGGCCCTCGAGCTGCTAAAAATAAGTGTAGACATTTCTACTCAGGCTGGAGCCTGAGACCCTCCCCCATAACCAGGTTTCAGAGCCCAGGCTCCGCCCTGGGCCCAAATGTCTACACTGGTATTTCTAGCCCTACAACTCAGGTCAACTGACCTGGGCGCTGAGACTTGCACTGCAGATCATTTATTGCAATCAGGACATACCCTAAGTGACAACAGTGCCCCCATGACTGGAGCAATCTGGAGACCTGGGTTCTGCCACTGACCAGCCTGGGCAAGACACTTCCCCTCTGGGTGCCTCGGTTTCCCCATTTGTACAATAGTGGCTGGGGACTTCAGGAGTCCAGGTGAGGGTGCCTAACTCTCTTAGGCCCTCAGTGACAATCCCAGCCAGTGATACTCTCTCTCCTCTGTAAAGTGCTTTGAGATCCACAGAGCTGGGTGTTGTTATTAAGGTGGAGAGTGGCTCAGGCTGGACAGGTAGCAGACAGAAATCAGGTTACTGCAGCTCTCACCTGGCCAGAACACACTCAGGCAAACTGAGAAGAGAAAATGTCAGTGCATCCCGTGGCCGTCAGTGGAAAATGAGGGGGAATAAATCACAGCCGTATGGGCCAGGAGCCACACTGCAAGCCTTTGCTCGGTTGTTGCCTGCGATTGCTCAGCATTCAGCACCACTTGGTATCAGAAGCCAAGGCACGTGTGCGTATTCCAGATGAATTCCTGAAATCCACCCCAGGGTAAGAACAGAGCAATGACTTTAGCTGAGGAGTTTGAACCCAGCATGTAACAGAAAACAAATATGTGATGTGCTCCCTCCAGACAAGAAGCAGCTGTTCCCACGCATGGCAGACAAGAGAAGTGACAGAGCCATTTTCTGCCCCAAGGGCGCTGGAAATGGGAACGCAAATGCCACTGAAGACAGAAAGCAAGAGCTGATTTTGCATGAGTCCTGAGACTGCTTGCACCGAGTGTCAGCCTGTGGCAAAACAGGCAAACAGCAGGGTTATATCGGGGAAGCTGACACACCTTGAAAATGGCAGCTGCAGACACAGCTCAGCCTACA